CCACCTCAGCCTCCCAACGTGTTGGGATTTCAGGCATGAGCCACTGCACCCAACCAGTATAATACTTTAAAAGTTATTTTTAGTGTGTATAGTTGCAAAGAAATTTTGAATAGGAGATACCTTCATGGAAATGTGCTATTTAACAATCAAAAGTAATTGAGGAGTATTGAGTACTCACTGGTAAAAGGAAAGACCTTAGACACATTAAAATTACTGGAGTTTAATTGAGCAAAGAACTATTCACGAATCAGACAGCTTTCAGAACCAGAACAAGTTCAGAGAGCTCTGGCCTGTAATGTGGTCAAGCAGCATTTATGGACAGAAAACAGAAGCAAGTAAAGAGACAGCTCTTTTGGTTACAGCTTTGCATTTGCTTTGTTAGAACATGGTTTGAATGTTGGCTGCCTAAAGCTTGGTTGCTATGATTGACTGAGACTCAGCAGTTTATTCTGTTTTTTTTCCCCCCCGAGATAAGAGTCTTGCTGGAGTCAGGCTGGAGTGCAGTGGTGTGATCTTGACTCATTGTAACCTCCCGGGTTGAAGCAATTCTCCTGCCTCAGCCTCCCAAGTAGCTGGGATTACAGGCGCCTGCTACCACGCCCCACTAATTTTTGTATTTTTTATTTTATTTTATTATTATTATTATTTTTGAGACGGAGTTTCGCTCTTGTTACCCAGGCTGGAGTGCAATGGAGCGATCTCGGCTCACCACAACCTCTGCCTCCCGGGTTCAGGCAATTCTGCCTCAGCCTCCTGAGTAGCTTGGATCACAGGCACGCACCACTGTGCCCAGCTAATTTTTTGTATTTTTAGTAGAGACGGGGTTTCACCATGTTGACCAGAATGGTCTCGATCTCTTGACCTCGTGATCCACCTGCCTCAGCCTCCCAAAATGCTGGGATTACAGGCGTGAGCCACCGTGCCCAGCCCCTAATTTTTGTATTTTTTAGTAGAGACTGGGTTTCACCATGTTGGCTCAGGCTGGTCTTGAACTCCTGACTTCGTGATCCACCTGCCTCGGCCTCCGTAAGTACTGGAATTACAGTCGTGAACTACCGCACCTGGCCGAGACGCAGTTATTTATTATGTAAGTATACTGTACTCCTGATTTAGGCTTTCAGTTAGTTTGCCAACTAAGTTAGGTTGTACTTTATTATGTAGGAACTCAAGTACAGAGGCCAGGGACTATCTTTAATGATAACAGTCTCCATGCTTTGCATAGTGACTTACACAGAATACTCAGTAAATATTAGTTTAGCTTATTTTATACGTACATGTACAGAGACACACACACACAAGCACATGTATATCTGACATAGTAGAAGTGAGACCAATAAAAAATAAAACCGAATCTTGACCTGTGTGTTTTTGGTCCACTTACCTCAAGGAAGGAAGATGAGATGTCTGATTGCCAGTCCCTCATAAAGGCCAGCTTTGTGAGAATCAAGAAGTATAAGAAAATTGTCAAGAGTCAAAAAACCAGAAAAGAAAAGAAAAAGCAGAGAGAAAGATGAGTGTTACACAGATTAGAGGGGCAGGAGTAAATAGCAGATACTTTGGAGAAGCTAGTAAGAGACAGAAAATAAAGCAGGTTTGCATTGTGGTGTGGTGGTGGAAAAGGTCTCTCAGTCCTCAATAGCCCTTGAAAGTGTTTGAGCTTCTGTATTAAAAAGCTACTTGTCTCTGGTTCCAGTACTTTTTGCAGGAAGATTATAAAATGATACTAGATGGTGAACTGTTTATATAAGGAAGCTGTATGTACAGTAATGGTAACTATATTTTAAAATCATCTTATGTGTTCATTCAGTAAACAGAAACAAAAAAGTGATAGGAAGTATTCCCTGGCTCTAAGGAAGGGTAAAAAGATAGAACTACAAAATGATTGGTGAATCTTTGTGACATCTGTATATAGCTGAAGTCTTGACATTATGACATGTATACTGCTGTGCTGCATCTTTTTTTTTTTTTTTTAAAGGAATTTGACTTTTGACATTTAAAGATCTATTGGGTTTTTGACTCTCAGTGACAGCACAGGTACCCTTACAGCACAGGTTCCTCTTTAGCCACAATAATACCTTTACCCAAAGGAGAATATTATACTCTAGAAATGTGATTCAGTTTCACAGTATGATTCAGGAAGTAATTAACCATTGCCATGGCCTTTTCTCCCTCACGATTTTTGATCTAAAATGGGAATCTTTAAAAATAGATCTATTTTAGGGAAGTTAAAAGCATCCTTTCAATAAAATATAAAGTGATATTATAATCATGACTTTCTCATCGGAGATCGTATTCAAATATTGTAGTAGTATATAAAGCTTTTACTATAGTTAAAAATATTGAGAGATAATTTATGTACCATAAAATTTTCCCCTTTTAAAGTGTATAATTCATTAGTATTTATTATATTCACAAGGTTGTGCAACCATTACCGCTGACCAATCCCAGAATATTTTTCATCATCCCATAAAGAAATCCTGTACTTGCTCATAGTCAATTCCCATTCCTTTTCCCAGGTCCTGGAAATTGCTAATCTACTTTCTGTTTCTGGATTTGCCTGTTCTGAAAATTTTATGTAAAGGGAATCATACAATATGTGGCCTTTTGTGTGTGATTGCTAAGCCTTTTTAATGATGGTTTTAGCATTTTCAAAGTATGTTCACTTTTTAAAATAAATGCCTAATACCTCTATGAGGTAGACAGGAACTTTGTGACATAGTTACATTGTCAGATTTATTTATGTGATCTCAATTTACCTTAGGTTGAGGAAAAGAGATTCAAAGGTGGCAGGGTAGTTAAAGGAAAAACAGTGCATGATGATACGTGAAAAAATAATTTAGTCCTGTGGTGTTTCTAGAATCTATAAATACTAAACTTTATTAAATTGCAACTGCAATTAAATACTCTATTTAAGAACTTAAAATTTGAAGATGAGTTGTTGAGCCTTAGAAGTTATAGGCTGAATTCCATTTCAGTGAGGTTGAAAGTATGTCAGAATTGTGCTCTTGATTATTCTAAATTTTTTAAATGAAAGTCTGTTGCTATAGTGTGCAGAAGGGGTATGATATAAATTTGTTTTAATGAAGGAATTAATAGATGTCTTTTGCTTTTTTGGCCATTAACTTTTGTAGGGGAATTTAATATAATGAAAATGTAAAGCATTAATTCTTGAAAATTGTAAGTATATTTGAAATTAATGGCCAGTATTAGTAAAGTATACCATTTTTCTATAAATTCTATACATTAGGTTTTCTCTTTTTAAATATTAGAATGTGCTTTGGGGATGCAAATTTGTGTCATTTTCACGATTGAGTTTGTAGTTGTTATCCTAAAATCAGTAGGATAACAAATCACACAATAGACTGTCTTGGTGCCTACTATGGCTTCTGCCATTACTTGACACAAATAAAGTTTTGGCTAAATTATTATTTAATTCCTGTAAGGCCTTTTGCCCTGATGAGCTAAGCTCATCTATGAGTTGTTAGGAAGGACTTCTTTTGCTTGGAAGCAGGCATTAGCAATCATCTCATGTTTCTCTTTCTTAGGTTTCTTACACCATTTGACTTTTCTTTCTTGGGGTTCTTCTCTCAGTGGTAAGAACCCACTGGTCCTTTCTATAATATTCCCAAAGGAAGTAAGTTCTAAAAGGGGGAAATTATTGGCAAATAAAAAGAAAATGAGAATATCTCTCATTAGTAAAACTCTTGCCCCTATTCAGCACTCGTAATAAAATCTTTGTCCTTTTAGACACTCTATCCTCAGGTTAAGTGGCTTAACTATGTCCTTAGAATTGCTTTTCCATTTTATCCTTTCTGTACATGGAATTTTCCTGCTAAATTGAGGTGGAGGAAGTGGGGACAGAGAAAGAGCCATGTATATATTGAGGGGAGGAGGAAATGGTTGGGTAACCAATGAGGAGAGTAATACCTACTACCAGGAGTCTGGACAGGATTTTTCTGTGTATGTGTTGGTGTTTTAATTTGTGTCTGTACGCATGTTCATATGGATTGCCATGTATAAACCAGTGCGAGCTTTGAACAATATGTACATTTTCTTTCTCAGCTGAATTTTTTGTATACGTATCTGCTTAGGAGATTGGCATGGTTTATGACAAATATGTGAATATGTGAGCACATCTATAATTCATTGAATCTTAGAGAAGAGAGGAATCTTAAAGGCTTTTTTCCTTCATGGTTAGCTACCTAAAACAGAAACTTAACCAACTCTTGACATTTGGCTTTTACAATTGCCACATTAAGTTAGCTATTAGTAGAGAATGTACTACTCTTTCTAGGCATCCCATTCTATTTCTGAATAAACCAGCTACTAGGAATTCTACCTTGAACCTCTGTCATTCTTGAACCCAGCCATTTATCATAATTTTCTTCCTATGGTGCTAGTCCCTCTTTTATAACAACACTCTTTAGTGATTTGAAGAGAGATCGATCAAGGGCCTCATTACATTTTATTTATGTTAAATACATCCAGTTTCTGTTGAATTGTTAGTTATGTTACAGGATTTTGCTCATCATCTAATGGACATGTTTTAATTCCTTGACTTGCAAATGTTTTTGACTGAAACCCCAAGAAAGAAGACATTTTACATCCTGACTCAATACACTGATATACATATATACATGTAGGATATATTTTAATATAACAAAAATTTCATTAGACTTTAATTTTTAAAATTTTTAAATTAAAAATCTTTAATTTGATATTTTTGATCCTTTTCATTTTTAAAACATGCGGATGATTTTGTCACTTCCTGATGGGTCTCAGTTTAGAACACTGTTCTGATTTGTTCTTGCTGCAGAACTGAAACAGTTTGCAAAAGCTGGATATTAGGGTTATGTTGCTAAGACAGGTTTTACCTTTAATTCCTCAAAGAGAATATGCTGATGATGATGGCTATTAAGTAAATCTTAACAGAATTATTAAGTTATTGGTAGTAAATACAGTGAAACTAAAATATATGCAACTTTTATTTTTGTCTTTAGGTGGCGACAGACAAGGTTGCAGAAAAGCTGAGCTCTACTCTCTCATGGGTGAAGAACACAGTATCGCATACAGTCAGTCAGATGGCCAGTCAGGTGGCAAGTCCATCTGCTTCATTACATACCACATCCTCATCTACCACATTATCAACACCAGCCCTTTCACCATCTTCCCCATCACAGTTGAGTCCAGACGACTTAGAACTCCTGGCTAAACTGGAAGAACAGAATAGGTGAGTGAGGTTGCTTGGCTTTTTTTCTCTCCAATTATCATACATAATTCAGCCATTCATATTTACTTACATTAAGAATGTTTCTTTTCTATTTTTTGGCTCCTTATTTATCAAAGTTATTTAGAAAAGTTTTCGTCTTTTTGGAAAGGTTGGTCTTAAAAGAGACTAAAATTTTCTTCTGGCTCAAATAGCTTTAGAGATTTGTTTTCTTAATATGGCAAATTCCCTGAATCCTTCTTGAATTTTATCAATTTTAAAAAAGTAAATGAAACTATCGCTTTTTAATTTTAAACTCTCAGAACAGTTTCCTTTGGTAAAAGCATAAAATAATTTAATCCAATATAGATACCTAATTTGTGGTTTAGAGTGGAAAATCTTTTATGAAATTATTCGTAGAAAGCAAAATATCCTTTTCTCTTAATAGATATTAAATAGAGTAGTTTTCTGTTCTGCTAGGAATGCATACTCTGGACCCTGTGTGCCTCCTTACTGTGCTGTTGTCAGAAGATCTTTAGGGCATCATCTATTTTATTTATATTTGTATTTATATTTATATATATTATATATATAAACATATAGGGCATCTATTTTATTTGTATACATTATATATAATATATATTATAATATATACAATAATTATATATAATTAAAATAAAATTGTTATATATTAGATATAAAATAAATTTAGATATAAAATAAATTTATATATATACATAAATGTTTATATATATATGTTTATACACCCACACACAAATGTTTATTAGGGTGGGAGAGCACCATTTTGTGCTCAGTCAAGGTATGTAATGCTACTGGCTTAGAATCATAACAAAAATAACTTTTAATACATTTTTTGATGCATCATTGGCATAAACTACACATACTTAAACTGTACAATCTGATAAATTCTGACATATGTGTACATCTGTGAAATTGTCACCAGAATCAAGAAAATGAACATCTCCATTATCCCTCTTGCTGTCCCCAGGCAGCCACTGTAGTTTGCATTTTCCAGAATTTTGTAGAAATGGAATCATATAGTATGTAGTTTTTTGGTATGGATTATTTCACTCAGCATAGTAATTTTAAAAGTCATCATTGCTATAGCACATATCAATACTTTTTATAGTATTCCGTCATGTGGAAATATGGCTGTTAAATGCCATAAATATTTGTGTATAAGCTTTTGCATTAATGTATGCTTTCATTTCTCTTGGACAAATACCTAGGAATGGAATGACCCAATCATATGGTATGCCTAATTGCCAAACTGTTTTTCAAAGGGCCTTTACTTTTTCATAACCCATCACAGGTGTATGAAATTTCCAGTTCTTAAATACCCTTGCCAACACTTGATATGATAAGTCTTTTTAATTTTAGCCATTTTATTAGGTATTAGTATCTCTGGTTTTAATTTGATTTTCTCTATTTGTTTTGAGCATCTTTTTATGTGTTTTTCATCTGTATATCTTCTTTCATTTTTTTTTTAAGTTTGGTTATTTGCTCTCTTATTACTATGTTTTGAAAGTTCTTTGTATGTTTGAGGTAAAAGTCTTTATCAAGCACATGACTCTCAAATTCTTCCCCCAGCTGGCAGCTTACCATTCTGTTAAAAGTGTCTCTTTCAAGAAGTAGAAGTTTTATCTTACTTTATTGTATTTATTTTTGAGCATTCCAGGTTTACTCCTTTAAGTAAATCTAAAACCATTATACATGCCCATGACAATTAGAAAAGAGACAAAGGATAAATAGAAATAATTTTGTTCTGCCTATATAGTAGTATTTTTCTGGGTGTCAATAGAAAACATCAGTCAAGAGCATTAATGTGAATTTGTTGATAAAATGTATTTACTTTTGGCAAGTGTCTTGGTTTGGTATTTATACATAGACTGTAATGAAGTTGAGCTATCCCATCTTTCTTCTTATTTGTAACACATTCATACAAACAAAAAAGATGAATCCTACTGGAAGTGGGTCTTTATCAGAAATATGCCCCAGTGCAGTTAAGTGATACCATGAAAATCACTTTCCTGTCCTAGGCCTAACATTCTTCATGCAAATATTAGGATGAAGAATGATCTCTAAGTTTCTACAATTCATGTATACACATCGATTTATACATCATGATGTAGGTAGACAGCAAGGCTATACTTTCCATCCCCCATGATGCTGGGCGTGGCCATATAACTTGCTTAAAGCAAGTGTGGTACATGTGTCTTATAAGAGAAAACTGAAGTTTCTTTCATCTCTTTCTTCCTCTGCCAAAAGAATGACAGTGTCCCAAAAGGGTACTTTCCTTCACCTTTGATCCTGGAGTGAAAATGACATGGAGCAGTGCTATAGCTAGTCAACAACAACTGACATTACTCACCAGGAAATGCACCTTTGTTGTTGTTAACTGCAGTGTAACCTAATGAAAGCTAATTAATTATAAGAATTTCTTAATAATTGAGGATCAGTACATAGTTAAACACAAACACTCAAATTTAACAGAAAGCTGATAATGTAGGCAGGGTGCCATGGCTCATGCCTATAATCCCAGCACTTTGGGAGGCTGAGGTGGGTGGATCACCTGAACTCAGGAGTTTGAGACCACCCTGGGCAACATGATGAAATCCCATCTCTACTAAAATACAACAACAAAAAAATTAGCTGGGTATGGTGGTACATGCTTGTCCCAGCTACTCGGGAGGCTGAGGCAGGAGGATCACTTGAACCTGGGAGGCAGAGGTTGCAGTGAACCAAGATTGTGCCTTCATACTCCAGCTTGGGCTATAGAGTAAGACCCCATCTCACCAACCCCCCCCCCCAAAAAAAAAACTAATAATGTAAAATATGACCTAAGTGGAAATAAGTTAAAAAGCAGCTTTTAAGAATTAAAATAAATACTTGTAGTAAAAGAAATCGACTTAAATATGTATATAGAATTTTCCTTGTGATTTCTGGCCTGAATCCTTGAATGACTAGTAAGATTCAACATTTTTACAAAATTGCTATTCAAAATTAAGATATTCCAAGATTTTATTTCCACCATTTTACAAAGGACAGTCCAGTTTAGCAATCCAGGTTTCCAAAGTAAGTTCCATGGGTAAGGCTTCTTCTGAAGTAACGTGACAGCTTAATTTCTTAGCTGTTAATTTGTTTTGTCATTTTTTTTCCTTTTTTAAAATAAAATAGAGACACGCTCTCACTATGTTGCCCAGGGTGGTCTCAAACTCCTGAGTTCAAGTGATCCTCCTGCTTTGGCATCCCAAAGTGTCAGGATTACAGGCATGAGCCACTGCGCCTAGACTGTTACTGTCATCTTTAAGACTGGCAAGAGAAGAGTTTGCAAAGTCTGTGACCTTTCTGATGCTCCTTCTATGGCAAAAGAACATTGGTTTGCCCTTCTCTTTGCTCTCCTTAGGTAAGAAAACTTGAAAGCAAACACTTTCTGTATGTGGCAGTTATTTATTCCTATCAGCTTACAACCTTAATTTCATCAGTGCAGTTCCTTTGTAGCTGTTTCACTATTTTTGGCACCTTTCCCTTGTTTATTTGCTGTCTCTCCTGATTTGGAATCAGTAATGTCTGATTGGCAGCCATATGAGGCTGGGATTTCCAGTTTTTCACAGTTGTGATCTGACTGATGACGGTGTCTCACGCAAAAATTATTCTCAAAGTATGGACATATAACTGCCACAAATTCTCTTTCAGCACGGTCCTTGGAAGAGCATGGGTAAAATTTATGTTTATATCTTCAATCTCTTATTGATAACTGTCATCTCAGGACAGCCATGAGACTGCCCCTTCTGTGTTGAAGGCAAAATATTCCTGAATATCACACACAAATGAAAGAAAATCTTGCAGTGCTGCCCAGTGTTCAACTCTGCCATCTGTCTTGTGCCACCAAAGAACAGAAATTTAAAATTTTGATTAAGTCACAATTTCAAATTGTTTTTACAAATTCTGATTTTTAGGTGATCCAAGATTATAGTTTCTTTCCTGTGTTTTTTTTTGGAAGTTTTATAGTTTCAAATTTTACATCTAGCTCTGTGATACACTTTGAGTTCATTTTCTGAATATGCACATCTAATTGTTCCTGTACCATTTATTGAAATGACTGTTCTTTCTCCACTTAATTACTTTTGCATTTTTGTCAGATATCAATTGTCCATATGTGTATGAGTTTATTTCTGGGCTTGCTCTAATCTGTTCTTTTGGTCTATTTGTCTATCTTAATGCCAGTAGAATACTGCCTTGATTATTGTAGCCTTATACAAAGTCTTGAAATCAGATAGTGTTAGGCCTCCAAGGTTGTTCTATTTTTTGACCTATTTTTGGTCCTTGGCATTCTCAAATGAATTTTACAATCAAGTTGTTAATTTCTACAAAAATGTCTGCTGAAATTTTGGTTGGGATTGCATTAAATCCCTGCCTTCCTCTCCATGAACACAGTGTATTTCTCACTTATTATTTGTCAGTGGTATTGTTTTTGTAAACTTCATTTTTAATCGTTCATTGCTAGCATATGGAAATACAATTGTCAACACCTTCTGTTCCCCTCCCCCCCTTTCTTCCTTCCTTCCTTCCTTCCTTTTTCTTTGATGGGGACTCACTCTGTCACCTAGGCTGGAGTGCAGTGGCACAATCTCTGGTCACTGCAACCTCCGCCTCCTGAGTTTATATAGTTCTCCCTCAGTTTCCCGAGTAGCTAGGATTATGGGCATATGCCACTATGACAGTTAATTTTTTGTATTTTTAGTAGGGTCACTCCTGACCTTAAGTGATTTGCCTGCCTTGGCCTCCCAGCGTGCTGGGATTACAGGCATGAGCCACTGCACCTGGCCCTACAATTATTTTTCTTATATTGATTGATGTGTCCTGCAGCTTTGCTAAACTCACTTATTATTTTGGTAGATTTTTTTGGTTTTGTTTTTGTCTAGATTCCATTAGGTTTTCTATATAGATGAGCCTGTCATCTGTGAATAAAAGCACTTTTACTTCTTCCCAATCTGGATGCTTTTTTTCTGTTTTCTTGACTATTGCTACTGATTGGAACCTCCAGTATAAATTTGAATTGAAGTGGTGAATAGACATACCTGTTTTTCTGATCTTAAGAAAAAAGTGTTAAGCATATTTTTTTGTATATGCCCTTTGCCAGATTGAGGAATTTTTTTTTTTTTTTTTTTGTGAGACAGTGTCTTGCTCTGTCACCCAGGCTGGAATGCAGTGGCACAATCATGGCTTGTTGCTGCCTCAGTCTCCTAGGCTCAGGTGATCCTTCCATCTTAGCCTCCTGAGTAGCTAGAATTACATGCATGCACTACCACACTTGACTAATTTTTTAAAAAATATATTTTTGTAGAGACAGGGTCTTGCTTTGTTGCCTGGATTGCACTCAACTCCTGGCCTCAAGGACTCAGGATCCCAAAGTGCTGGGATTACAGGTATGAACCACTGTGACCAGCCCCTTTTCATTTCTTTCTTTCTTCTTCCATTTCTTTTTCTTTCTTTCTTATAGAGACAGGGTCTTACTCTGTTACTCAGGATGCTGTAGTTCATTGGTGCAATCAGGACTCGATGTATGTAGCCTTGACCTCCCGGGCTCAAGTGGTTCTCCAAGCTCTGCCTCCTGGGACTACAGGCGTGTGCCACCATGCCTGGCTAATTTTTGTGCTTTTTTGTAGAGACAGGGTTTTGCCAGGTTTTCCAGGCTGTTCTCAAACTCCTGGGCACTTGTTACCCCTTTCTATTTCTTTTTTTTCTTTTTTGAGACAATGTCTCACACTGTCAACCTGGTTGGAGTTCAGTGGCATGATCTCAGCTCACTGTAACCTGCACCCCTTGGGTTCAAGTGATTCTCCTGCCTCAGCCTCCCGAGTAGCTGGGATAACAGGCGCCAGCCACTGTACCCAGCTAATTTTTGTATTTTTAGTAGATACGGGGTTTCAATATCTTGGCCAGGCTGGTCTTGAAATCCTGACCTCATGATCTGCCCGCCTCAGCCTCCCAAAATGCTGGGATTACAGGCGTGAGCCACTGTGCCCAGCCCACCCCTTTCTATTTCTTGTTTGCTGAGAGTTTATGTAAAACTGATTTTGGATTTTGTCAAATGCTTTTTTGCCTCTACTGAAATGATCATAAATGTTATTCTTCTTTTAGTCTGATGATAGGGTAAATTCCATTGATTTTTCAGTGTTCAATCAACTTTGCATTCTTAGGATAAACCCCACTTCATCATGATAGGTTGTCTTTGTAAAATATTGGCTTCTGTTTGCTAAAATTTTGTTTGAAATACAGTCTGCCCTCCATATCCACAAGTTCTGCATTTGTAGAACCACAGATGGAAAATATTTTTTAAAATAAGAAATAACACAACAATAAAAAATAATACAAATAAAAACTAGATATAACTATTATATAATGTTTACATTAGGTACTAAATGTCATCTAGAGGTGATTTAAAATATAAGGAGGATGCGCATAGGTTATAAGCAAATACTGCATCATTTTATCTAAGGGATGTCCCCACCCACAGATTTTGGTATATTTGGCCTGGAACCAGTCCCTGAAGGATATGGAGAGATGAGTGTATTTGCATCTATGGTCTTTAGGGAAATGGATATTAAGCTGTCTTGAAATGTCCTTGACCTTTCTCTGTAATATCTTCTCACCTTGTAATGTCTGTGCAGCCTTTCTTTTCTAATAAAGTTGTTTAGTGCTATAGTAATCCCTCTTTATGTGTTGGGGATACATTCCAAGATGCCCAGGGGATACCTGAAACTGTGGATAGTTTCAGACCTCATTGTCATCAATTGGAACATATTTCTGTTCATGAATTCTGCTCACAAATTTAATGCTGTTTTCATGTTAATTAAGCATTTATCATACACTGTGACCATAAATTTTGTAGTTTGAAATGCAACAGTAAAATTAGTGCACATTTATTTTTCCTTCACAGTTTCACAGATGGAAGTGTTAACATCTTAAATATTTTCCCAGCCTTTTACTTGTATTCTGTTTTTTTCTTTAACTTTTTTTGTTTTTGAGACAGGGTTTCACTCTGTCACCCAGGATGTAGTGCAGTGGTATGATCATGGCTTGCTGCAGCCTTCACCTCCTAGGCTCAAGCAGTTCTCCCATCTCAGCCTCCCAAGTAACTGGGACTACAAAATTATTATTTTTTTAGAGATGATATCCGACTGTGTTGCCCAGGCTGTTCTTAAACTCCCGGATTCAAGCAGTCCTCTTGCCTCAGCCTCTCAAAATGTTGGGGATTACATGTGCAAGCCATCATACCTAGCCTTTTAAAAAATCTTTAAAGTTTGTCTGTTTGGTAACATATAGTTGGGTCTTGCTTTTAAAAATACAATCTGACAGTCTTTGTCTTTTAATTGGGTTATTTAAACAATTTTATTATTTTTTAATTAAAGTTTTATTTTTTGCTGACATTTACATTCATCTCAAGCAATAGGTTGGATACATCTTTGCTTTACACTGCTTTGTTTTGTGACCAGCAGCTGGCCTCTATCTGGAATAAACCAGACTGATGACAGATGGAAAAGACACCTAGTTGAAATACCTTAAAGCATCCCCTAGGGAGTGGTACACATAATTTCTACTTAAATTTTATTGGCCAAAGTAAGTCAGAGGGCCAAACTTTTTATGAGTGAAGCTAACAGGGATGAATCTAAAATTCACACTTTTAAAGAGTACGGTTTAGTGGTTTTTGCAACTACTACTACTGTCCAAATTCCCATTTAGAATATTTCCATCACCCCAAAAAGAAACTCTGTACCCATTAGTCTCCCCATTTCACTCTCCTTCCAGCCCCTGGTAACCACTAATATATTTTCTGTCTATGGATTTGCCTATTCTGGACATTTCGTTATGATGGAATGATACAATAAACAGTTTGTAATTGGCTTCTTTCATACAACATAATGTTTTTGAGATTTTGAGGAAAATAGATTATTTACATTTAAGGTGATTATTAATATTGTTATATTTAAACTTCTATTTTTCCTTTATTCTGCCATCTTTTGACTTTATTGAATATTTTTATGATTTTGTTATAGTTCATTTATTGATTTATAAACCATACTCTGTTATTTTAGTGGTTGTGTTAAGATATAAATCTTTAACTTATCATTTAAAAGACCCTCCCTTTAAGGGTTATACCACTTTACATGTACTGTACGAACCTTGTAATAGCACACTTGAATTTCTCCTGTCCAGGACTTTGCACTAGTTTTGTCATACATTTTACTTTTATATATGTTATAAACTCTATACTACATTATTTTTTAACTCAATAGTCAATTATCTTTAAATGAGATTGAAATAATAAGAAAAAACTTTTATGTGTTTACCTATTTAGTTACCATTTCTAGTCTCTTCTGCCCTTTCTTTAGATCCAGATTTCCATCTGGTATTATTTTCTTCTTGAAATACTTTTTTTTTTTCTTTGAGACGGAGTTTCGCTCTTGTTACCCAGGTTGGAGTGCAATGGCGTGATCTCGGCTCACTGCAACCTCCGCCTCCTGGGATCAGGCAATTCTCCTGCCTCAGCCTCCCGAGTAGCTGGGATTACAGGCACATGCCACCATGCCCAGCTAAGTTTTTTTGTATTTTTAGTAGAGACAGGGTTTCACCATGTTGACCAGGATGGTCTCGATCTCTTGACCTTGTGATCCACCCGCCTCGGCCTTCCAAAGTGCTGGGATTACAGGTGTGAGCCACCGCGCCCGGCTGAAATACTTTTTTTTAACGTTTCATATAGTGTGGTGGTATTGGTGATGAATTATTTAGCTTTTGTATGTCTGAGAAAGTTGTCCTTTTGGCTTTGATTTTTAAGTATATTTCTTTGACTATAGAATTCTATTTAATAGGTTGGCAGTTTTTATTTTCTAAATATTTTAATGATGCAATTTCATCTATTTCTCTCTTATGTTTTCAGTGAGAAATTTGATGTGTTCCTGTCTTTTTGTTTGTTCGTTGCTGTCAAGCATATTTGTTTCTTTGTATATGTCTTTTTTCTCTACTTTATCACTGGTTTTAAGCAATTTGATTCTGAGGTGTCATTGTTCTTTTCTATGTTTCTTACATTCTCAATTTGTTGAACTTCTTATGGATTTATAGTTTTCTTCAAATTTGGAAATTTTGGAGCCGGTGTTTTTTTCAAATAATTTTTTGCCCATTTCTTGCCTCTTTCTTAGAGACTCTTAAGTACACACATACTAGGCCACTTGAAATTGTTCCACAGCTCACTGATGCTTTGCTCATCTTCTGGAAAGATGCTACGTATTCAAGTTCACTAATACTGTCTTTTGCCATGTGTTGCTGTTAATCCTTTCTAGTGTATTTTTTTATCTCTTACATTGTATTATAGTTTTATCTTCAGAAGTTGGAGCTTTTTAAAAATATGTCTTAAAAGTTATTATAACTGCATTCTATATAGTCAGAAGTTTAATATACTTCTGAATATATAGAAGAATATGGTTATAATAACTTTTAATGGGATGGTCTGGCAGTTTTTTTTTCTTGTGAGATACTGGCTGGAACATTTTAAAGTAATTGCTTTTAATCACAAAAAATTCTCCAAAATAGGAAAAGATGATGAAAAGTTAAATTAAGACTCAGAATCAGAACTGTAGTTCCTTGACGTCCCTTGCTGTGAAGAGGTGGGCCTGGCGTATGACTGGGTGGTAAGTGCTGAGGACGGTGGTGACAACGTCCATCTCGACCTTTCACTGCCTCATGGCACAGAACACACCATCCCACCTGAGACCTTTGCAGCACTGACCTCCCAATAGCAGAACTCTGTCCCTGGCAGAGCTGTACCTGAGTGGTCCGGAGGGATAGTGTGTTTGTGGAATTAATACTTCAGGTTTAGCTAACAAAACAAAACAGAAACCCTCTTCCCCTACTTGTCACAATGTCCTCAAAGTGTAAGATTTTTCTAAAAAAATCAAATTCCTCCTTGTGCTGAGTTTCCTGCTAAGTCTCTAAAACCCACATCAAGGGCACAGGATACAAAATGACACCTCAGTGGAACAGCTATAGTCTAATGCACAATGAGCACTCAGAAGGAAGATTAAAGTGCTAAGTTTCCTCATCTGTCTCAGGGAGGAGCCAGCATCCTATATATTTTTTCTGACTACAGATGCGCTGTCCTAGTAGCAGTGCACAGCCTCTGGTCCCTGGCTGGGAGAGCAGCTCCTGGACATGAGTCAGCTTCCTCCCTGCAGTTGCCCCAGCCAAGCCTCCCTGAACCCAGTCGCTGTGGCTGCCTTCCTCCTGTCTGAACGGCTTAGGGTGGGACGCCCTGTACCTGCCTGTCCACCCAGGAAAGGTGCATCTCATAGGGTCTCAAGGCAGCTGCTCAGGCCCCACAAGGTGAGGCACTCATTTATTTGGGGTGGTACAGGGAGCAATCAGGCTCATT